GTCAATGTGTACCTCAAGGAAATCCAGGCATTTTCCAATATCAATGTATGCGATAGGACTTTCGATGAAGCAAGGTCATATGTTCTATAGAAATTGAGTACCTTGATGATTTTTCGTTTGAAAGTAGGCTTTCGAAATTACCGGTAGATCACACAATTTCGTTTAAGATGATAAGGATAGTTAAATTTTTCCCACAATGATATGACATCCATCTTCCAGTCCCCTTATCACATTAAACGAAATGAGTACATTTCATTTATATGATTTAATTCTAGTCTCAAAAACAAAATCAAAAACGAAAAATGTCGAGACAGTTTGACAATCTGGTCATGTGACTAGGTAGGGACTTGCTGCTCATAGTGTTAATGAATTTTGACTTGCGATCTACAAGTCTAAGGCTTCGTTATCCAGTTTGTGTGCGGAAAGCAAAATCAAAATCAAAAAGAAAATATTCCGTACTAAGGGGTCCTCCAACTTCTTCTACGACGAGTGGCGATACAAAGCTGAGTGCAGGCGCCTGACAGGCTAAGCCTGCCTGGCGAAGGCGCTTAGGTAAGCTGGGATGTCCGCTTGCTGTAGAAGCACTGGTAACTAAGGTAGCAATGGGCGGTGAAACGGAGCCCATAGTATTGGATACGGAAGTCATCTCGACTTGTAAATGGCAAGATGAGGCTGAATTAGCCAAACCATGTACAGTTGTACTTGTCGGAAGTGAAGAGGCAGAGTGTGAAGGTTCGTCGAGTTGAATTTCCTCATGACGTCTCTTCCCAGTCACCACAGCGGCAGTGGTAATGCCAACAGGAGAGCCTGATGTTGTGGTTGAAGAGGAAGGAGAGGCAAGAATATGGGACCCAAGCGAAGAGGTAACTTGGGAGGTGGAGCAAGAAGTTGCTGAGATTAAGGGCAAAGAGACTGGAGAAGTCGATGAGGATGATGAAGATGCCGCAGAGACAACACTGAGTATGGCAAGTGGCTGTTGTTGAGGCGGCAATAGCAAACTCGAGTGATGCACTGGACTCGAGGCAGAAGAGCGTCGAACAGGCATAAGAGTAGCAGTATGAGTTTGCAAGGAGAGAGGACAAGTGACAGAGGTAGATGGGGATGAAGGCAGGAACGAGAAAAGACCAGCCATCGATGTAGTAGGCGGATGGACACGAGAATTCGTCAGTGAGAGCTGTTGCGACGACATCGCCTGGAATATTGAGTATCCTTGGTCTGTAAAACATGAAATATAGAAACAATAGCCTTAAATGCGATATAAAAGTATAAATTTATAATGTGTAAAATAGAGGGTAAAAAAGAATGTAAAAAGGACTAAGAAGTACAGCACTAAAGTTCTGAAAGTTTCAAACTAGGGAACTTAAAATTCTGCGAGAGCAACAAATTACCAAATACAATGGAATACGAGTGACATTCCTTTTGCCTTTCCTTATGGAAATTAATCAGATTTATATTTGTAAAGATAAAAATTCATAAAACAAACCCAAGACCGGAGTAGCTGGTTGAGGCGTTACAGTAGCCACATTATTGGCAATTGGGCGAATCTCTGCCGTTTGTCTGGGCGGCTGTGTAGGTAAAGTGCAAACAGGAGTGGCCGAAGCACTCGTGATAACATTGCTAGACAATGGGCTTGAACCTGATGCTACGAGAGACGATAAAGTGGCAGCTGTGGCAGGAAGAACCATTGTAGTCGCTCCAGGAGCACCAGAAACGACTGTCGAGGGAAGAGCTGAGCCAAAAGTGGTGGAAGCGCTGCCAGTAGCAGAGTTGGTTGTGGTCGTGAGAGTCGCAACAGATGATGTAGTCGTGGCGAGGCCAATCAATGAGCTGGCTCTCATGATCCAAGCGGGAACAGGAGGAGCGGCCGTTTGACTAGAAGTGGTGTCACTCACTAAACCAGTAGATGAACTCATCTCCTGAGAAAAGGTTTTGCGATAGCACAAATGCATAAGAGTGATAAATATAAGTATATACTGAAAAATAAACGGAACACTAATCTAAGGCCTGAGAAAGGTTTATATATTTTTT